CTAGCGTCGCCCGGGGGCAGGGTAGGCAAGAGATCGGTTCCGCTTTCTCGGCGAGAACCTGGGTTACCCGATGGGGGGAACCCTGACCTCTCCTCGCGTCGTGAAGAAACCGCGACGGAGCTCCTTCGCTAGGTTTGGCCTCCAGGGGCCCCTGCCATGCCCTGGCATCATGAAAAAACACCTCGGGATGAAAACCCGGCCCCGGGGAAGGGGTCCAGACCTCTGGGGGTCGACGTTGCGAGGGGTCTGGGAAAGGGGGGGCAAGCGCCAGCCGAGCCGATAACCTCACCTTTCCGCTCTGTGCAGTCCCACGTACGCCCGCGCGCACCAACACTGCGTGCCCCCCTTCGGACCTGCGCAACCGACACGGTCAGGTTCTCTGGGAGGCGGAGGGGCGCGGGGCGGGCCCGATAACCCTGGTTATGGGTGGACCGTACACAAGAGCAGCCTCCAAGGCCAGGCCGGTCCAGCTGTTGAGGATCGAGGCTTGCAGTGCTTGGACACTGTTGGGATTTCGGTGCCTGTGGCGACTACTGCCCCGCCTCTCGGCGCCCTCTCCCTTGCAACCCATCTTTCTGACGATTTCAAGCGCACGGGCACCAACCGCCTCGCGCCTCGCGCAGAGGACATGCACCCAGCATGCTCCAGCTCGAGGAGGGGAGGACGACGACGATGAGCTTTGGAGTATGTTTGGCTCCAACACCGCGCCGAAGGATCCAAAATCGTCAGGACAGTGGGGCGAAGGAGGCCTGGCGAACAACAGTTATCAGCCGGTGAGGCGGGACCCTCTGAAAACCAAGAGAATGATCAACCTTAGACCGCCGGAGAAAGTCTGTTGACTCACTCCCCAGATGCCCTCAGGAGCCGAAATCGCCCAAGCTCTCGTACCGTGCCCCCTGTGAGCTCCCGCGTTGGAAACCAGCACGGGGCGAACACGGGCGGCGCGGCGGGTTAGAAACCAACTACGGCTGACACCGCTCTGTTTCCCGACCATCCTGTGGTGTTGGATCCTCATTTTGAAGAGATAGCGCCCCGCGTTTCCCTCCCTCCCTCCCTCCTCCTCATCTTCCCCCTCCTCCCTCCTCCCCTGCGTGCCTCTGCTCTCCGAATGTCAAGCAGTTCGGCACACCCCTCACACGCTTCGTTGCCCCAGAGGGAGCTCCACCGAAGGCCCCAGTGGCGACGTTCGCATGCGTCCGTCCCGCCCATTACAGCGTCTCGTGGCCCCAGAGGGAGCTCCACAGAAGGCCCCAGTGGCGACGTTCGCATGCGTCCGCCCCACCCACTACAGCGCGCCGTGGCCCTAGAGGGAGTTCCACCGAAGGCCCCAGTGGCGACGCTCGCATGCGTCCGCCCCACCCACCCAGTACAGCGCTTCGCTGCCCAGAGGGAGCTCCACCGAAGGCCCCAATGGCGACGTTCGCATGCGTCTGCCCCACCCACCCTGTACAGCGCTGCGTGGCCCCAGAAGGAGCTCCACAGAAGGCCCCAGTGGCGACGTTCGCATGCGTCCGCCCCGCCCACTACAGCGTTTCGTGTCCACAGAGGGAGCTCCACCGAAGGCACCAGTGGCGACGTTCGCATGCGTCCGCCCCACCCATTTCGGCACGCCCCTTGCATGCTTCGCGGCCCCATTGGGAGCTCCACCGAAGGCCCTGGTGGCGACGTTCGCAAGCGTCCCCCCCGTTGATTTCGGCACACCCCTCACGCGTGTCGTGCCCCCACACGGAGCTCCACCGAGTGGCGACGTTCGCAGACGGTCCAACATCTCCCAGACGCTCCACAGGGCCTCCAAGAGCACTCCGAAAAGGGCCCCACGAGGCAAAAATCATGGATTTGCCAGAGTCTTTGAAGGATTTTGGTGTTCTCGCCTTCTTGGCTTCCCGACGCTCCAAAACGGCCGAAGAGGCCTCCACGATCGCCCCAAAGATCGCCCCAAGATAGCCGCAGAAGTCTCCAAGAAGACCCCGGATCGACCCAAGAGGGCCCCCAGACAGCGCAAGAGGCCTCCAAAACGGCCCAAGAGGCCCCCAAGACGGCTCCCAGAGCATGCCCACACAGGGGACTCGAGAAGAGCTTTGGAACCTTCGGCCCCAGAGCCTCACAGGAGGCCCCAAGAGGGCCTAAGAAGCCCCCGAAGAGGCCCCCCAAGAGGCCCCCAAGAGGCTCCTAGAGACCCCCAAGAGGCCCCCAAGGAAGACCCAAGAGGCCCTCAGAAGGCTCCCAAGCAACCCCAAAGTGGCTTCGGAATGCCCAAGAGGCCCACCCCCTCCTCGTCCACCTGTTCAATATCCCTGTCCTCCTCGCATACAGGGTCGGCGGCACCGGCTGTAAGGCCTTCACAATACATTCCAATTGGGTACAAGTGCTTGGCAAAGTGTTTCTGCCGAACAGCCGGCTGCTACTAGACAGCACTGCATATGCACACCTAGTATTTGAGAATCGCGTTACTGTGGTACTCCTTTCACCAACCATCTGCGTACCAAGAGCCACAAGAGGATTATTCAGCAGGATGAAACTGTTTACACAACGTTTTCGGGAACTCTATTCTCAGATGGCCCTGGCCAGGCATGGTACTGGTGTATTGGTGTCTTCTGCGTAAAGGAGCCAGTCGATGTATCAACCGCTCGTCTGGGTTATCGGTCTAAAGTTTGCGGAGCACGTGCCATGCTAGAGCACTGCTACCATATGCTGGCGAAGTGGCTCGCGTGGGAAAGTTAAAGCTGCATGCCCGAGAGAGAGAGAGGGAGACAAACAAAGAGAGAAAGAGAGATGAGAGAGAGAGAGAGAGAGAGAAAGAGAGAGCGACACAGAAGAGGGAGGGGGGCATAAGCATGCACGCGTTGAACGTATGCACTTGGAAAGGGAAGGGTAACGTAGGGAAGACAGGCATGATGTGGCGCCATCGAGGCGGTAAGGGTAGCGTCAAATGAATCTGCACAGCCTGCCTCGGAGCTGCCTCGAAGACTGGGGACGTCTCGGGACCAAGAGCCTTGGCCGGCGACAGAAAGTTGATCGCCTGCGAGGTCTGCTGAACCTCACGCCGCGCGCGAAGCGGACCATCAGAAGGCAGAGGGAGATAACTAGCAGCGATAAAAGTCGGGGGCGCCCAAGAGGGGAGCGCCCAAGAGGGGGGGGGGGCGCAAACCATGGCCGGCGGCATGTGCGCGGCCCAGGGGGGGTGGGGCTGGGGACGTATTGAAATACGAAGAGGCGCCATGAAATCAGAGGAAATATCATGGCCCCCGCTAATTATGATACGTGAACGTTTGATATTCGGCGTTTTGACATTGGGTAGAAGGGGGTGGAGGGGGGGAAGTCTGGCTCCGGACCTCTGCTTAGTGCGACTGTTTGGAACCGTGCGTCCTGTGGGGGGAAGCTCCGCCAGCCTGAAACAGGCGCCAAAAACAGCCAAGATCTACTCCGTAGGGGGATGGAGGGGGGGGGGGGGCGAGGGCCCGCGCCGATCGGCAAAGCAATCCATAACAAAAACGATCACTATCCAAACACGCCTACGCATCACCCCCCTCCCGTGGCCGCACCCGAAAAGGCAGCAGGGCACAGGGGAGACGCAGGAGAGCGAGCGCGACGACGAGCAGGCTCCCTCGGAGGATGGCTGTGGCTGTCCGGTCGCAGCTCGGGCCGCGGAGGCTCGCCCGGGGCACGACTCCGCCACCCCTCGGGGGCCCCCAGACGGGGTGGTGACCGCACCGTGTGGTGTGTCGGTGGGGATTCGGGGCCACCGCACGGTTTTGGGACTCGAGTCCCTCTCCGAGGATGTCTCGGGCGACGGGGCCTCCAGGGTCCCAAGACCGTGCGGTGACGGACCGTGCGGTGAGGTCTCTTGGTGTTCCGAGGTCACCGCACGGTCTGTCACCACACGGTGTTGGGATCCCCAAACCCCGAGACAGAGCCCTCGACGAGACACGGCTGCCGGAATCCGAGAACGAAGATTAGGTCGGGCATGTCCCCCTACAGGAGGATCTTGGGCGAAACATGCAAAATACTTCAAAGAAGCTGGAAATAGCAAAGAAATGCTATTAAAAAAAGCCCCCTGATTATTCTTTGACTATTTTTGAATATTCCTCCTGTAGGGGAACATGCCCGACTTAAAACTAAGGCAAAGCCAGGACGAGGATGCATTCGGGTGAGGCTGAATCGAGAGTGTCTGAGATCCAGCGGCTGTGGAGGATGTACCGGGCGCCGCGGCCTTCTCAGAGCGTTCCGAGCACGCTCTGAGAGCGTTCTGGAACGGTCTGGAACGGATTTGGCGAATTTCGGAAACCCGGAACCCGAAAAAACAACCACCTCTTGGGGGCACGTTTTTTTTCTTCCGCCGCCTTCCGCCGAGCTTCCGCCGGCCTCCGCTGGCGGAGACGGCCTTGCTTCACTTCCGCCGCCCTTCCGCCGCCTTCCGCCGCGCAAGAGATGACAACTCCTTCTATCCTCGAAAGCAAGAGGCCCTTTTCGAAACGCCCCATCTGGTCCTCGCCCGATCCCCCGCCGAAGAGCCTCCGAATCCTACGGTCGGCAGCTTCTGCTCGGCGCGCCGCGGGGGGGGGGGCGGCCAGGGCACGCTGCGCCTTGCAAGCTGGATGGCGCGCTGCTCCGCGCCGCGGGGGCGGGAGGCTGGGGACAAGGGCTCGGGACGCTGCCGCCCGGGGGGCCCCGGGAGGTGGTTGGCACCGCCAGTGGCGTGAAAAACGCCCACCAGGCGTAAAGGTCAACGCTGGTGTACTGAGAAAGACCCCTCGTGCCCCCCAGTTCAATGTTGTAAACGGAGCTGCCTTGGCGGTGAAGATCTGGGCGTTTTCTATGCCCATGCTTGCACCCCGACAGTGGCCGCGAACGCAACATTGAAATGGGGGGCCCAGGGGCGGGCACTTCGCAGCGTCATCTCTAGATGGGCGTTTTTCACGCCAGCAGCGGCATGTCGCGCAGAGACGTAGTGGGCCAGAACTGGCGGCGCGACACGGTAAGCCAACGATCCTGACCGTACC